AAGCGAAAGATAAGCCTATATTAGTCAGGTATCATCCGATATATTGAACCAGATATACAAATTTTGTCTAGGAATCCAGTGTCCAATTAAATATCATGTGTATTTTCTGATAAAATATAATCAAAAATTATAATAATTTACAGTTTTGATAATTATTATATAAATTTTAGAACATGACTCAGGATATTTTTATTTAATATCTTGTTAACTAATATTAATTCTTATACGTTAATAATTTTGCGTACTGTATATTTTCAATTTTATAAAAAATACTTATTCTTCGAGGTGTATGGCAACCATTAATTAATTATTTAGTTTTATATCACAATGTTTAATAATAGGTGTTAATAATTGCAGTTTTTAAAAAACTTATTAAATAAAGTCAACATTTTAAATAAATATTTAAATTATATTAAATTTTTATTTTCAATAAAATAATTTATATTAAAATTAAATCAAACATGCTTTAGTTTATAAGTTACTAATTAAACTAGTATTTTTGAATAAAATGTAACATATTACAAAATAAGTTTTAATTTATACATAGTTAATAATGCTTAATAATTATACTGTAGATAGGTGAATTGTATTAACACTACGCTTTGTTTCTAACTAAATATAACTAGCACGTTTATGGTATACATTTTATTTAGAAAATAATAAAAATATTTTTAAAAAGGTTACAAAAATCCAGATAATCATATCTAATATTCAAAAATAGTAATTTTAATTCACCAACATAATTATAATACTAGTAAGGTAAATTATACAGTATTAATACAATTTATACTAATTACTGTATAGTTATTAAAATTTATTTTCAATGTTGAGCGAGAAAGTAATTACCAAGCACAGGCTCACCCAGGGTATAATTTTTGGCAAAGTCTTTAATGCTAAAACTTCTCCGGTGTTCATCATCACGAGGGGGAGGGTTTATATGTAGACCCGGCTGTTGATATATAAGTATGACATACCGGTGTAGACCAGTGCCCTCTGGCGGGTGTGGACCTGAATAACCGGTAACGATATGACCACCGGATACCTGGTCACCCGCTACGTTCATGACTAACCAATGTTTTATACTACGCGTACTTGCATCAGGGTCAACCATCGCTATCGTATAATAGGCAGATTGTTTGGTAGTCCATGTTAAATGTGGTTCCGTGTTTGACTGAGCAGGGGTAATTTCAGTGCCTAGTTCTATGCTTATATTTCCCGGGTAAGTAACCTGATAAAAATAATTAATAAAAGTAATAGGCATTGGTAACCATGGCCAATTAAATTAATTAAACAATATTTTCACAAATTATAAATTAGATAAATGTTTTGATTACAGTTTAAAATTATATAAATTCATTATTACTGTAGAATAAAATTGTAATTAATATGATTAAAATGAACTCTTTAAAATTTTTAAAATAAAATAATTAAAGTAATATAACTTTGAGAATTAAGTCATACCTTGACCAGTTCCTTTGGGCTTGTATCAATAATATCAGGCACAATTTTGCTATCATGGAAAGCTTTATCAATGTCCACAATGGTGTCCCTTTGACCGTAATAAAAGGTACCAGACACTGCAATCACTGAGCAAGCTAAATAACATATTAAATTAA